ATCCGAGGACGCAGAATACTTTGCAGAAGGCCAGAGGGCTTGTGAGAAGCCCCGCCGCCTTCTAAGAGGGCCTCTTCCTTACCACTTCCCACCTGGCTCGCCGCCGACCAGAGCGCAGGGGCCGAGGAGGGCGGATTCGATGCCCTTCTTGCAGCGGAAGAACGTGGGGGCGATGCGCACTGTGTAGGTGTATGTGTGTATGCATGCATGCATGTATGCATACAATGTATGTGTACATGTATGCATGCATATATGTATGTGTGTATGTATGTGTGTAAATGTATGTATGCATGTGCTCATGTATGCATGTATGCATGTATGCATGTGTGTATGTATGTAGGTGCGTGTTTGTATGTACGTACGTACGTATTTATGTAATGTAATGGCATGAAATGCACTGACATGTTATGTCATGGAATGTCATGCTATGAAATGGAATGGAGTGGAGTGGAGTGGAATGCAATACAATGCAATGCAATGCAATGCATGCGTGCATGCATGCATGCATGTATATATGTGGGTGTGTATGCATTAATGTATGTGTGTATGTGTGTATGTGTGTACGTGTGTACGTATGTATGTATTTGTTTCATATTTGATTGTTGTATCTCTCGCTTCGTTGAGGCCCGCGTATCTGTAAATTATTTCGCTCAAGTCGTAAAGGCCGATGTGGCAGCAGCGCCTCCAGGATCTAGCAGCCAACAGTTTGCTATCCTACCTGAGCAGGTGCCCAGCGGCACCGCCCTGCCCGTCAGTGCCCGCCTGCCCGTCAACTCCTTCGGTGACGTGCGGCTCCTGTCCTGCTTGCCCAGCCTGCCCTTCCTGTACGTGCGGAGGTCTTACTTCAGTTTCAGCACCCGCCCCGACAGGCGAGCGCCCGGCCTCACAGGATCCTGAATGTGCCTGGAGCTTCTGGCTGACCATCGGCGTTTTCATCGGAGTGTTCACGGGTTGGGTCCTTATCGGTGTGTTCCAATTCATCAGGGTGTTCGTGACGCAGGGACTTCGAGTCTTCGGAGGACCAGGAGCGACGACTCCCGCGGCACCTGTTGCGTCTTCTGCCCAGTTGACGAACGGCATCAGAGATGGACACTTTGGACATCCCAGGACCCCAAGTTCTGGTAAATTATCCCGATGATGCTGGAGGAGTGATCTGGCATCATCGCATCCTGGCCAAGAAGATCACGGCTGGGGTGTGGATTGCGATCGCACCGGATTTCGAGTTGGTTCGACACAATCTCCTCGAGCAGCGCCACATAGTCTTGGATAGGAATTCCATGTTTCCAGCAGCCCAGCGTGCTCAGACTTACGGGTTTGATCCAGCGCCTCGGGCTGAGCTCCTCGCTCTCAAGCGCCAGGCCGCTGTGCAGGCCGCCATTTTGGGCGATGACGATCAGGACATAGAGATCGAGAGTAATGCATGGGGGATCGCGGAGACAGATCACCTCAGGTTTGCCCAAGTCCTGTCCGACCCGGAGGTTCAGCAGGCCACCCTTGGCCAGTCCAAGGGCGTCGCTCTGGTCAACGGTATGGAAGTTTTTGTTGACCGGATCCAGACGAATCAGTTGGAGGCTTGGAAGGCTTCTCGTAAGTCTGGTACAGGAGATCTGCGAGTTTTGGGAGATCATCGTAATGCTTCGGGACGTCGTCACCTCGCGTTGAGTGAGGCAGTGTCTTTGATGCGCGAGACGACGTTCGATGACTGGATCATGCCAGGGCCGAGAGTTGCTAAGGAGTGGCGCACGTCAGTTCGGAACGGCCCTGGCGACCTGACGTCTTATCATGGGCAGTGGGCACGGCTCTCGGGAATCAGTGAATTCTCTGCGGTGGCCCACATGCACTACGTTTTGTGTGAAGCAGTCCGCCTAACCATCCAGACTGACCAGCTCGACGGCACGAATCTTGTGAGTTCTGAGTTGATCATGCGGAGAATTTGTCAGGGCGAGACCGCCGTGTCTCGTAATCCGAGACACCCAGACTACGGGGGTCTGGACATCGTGCTGCGCGCCCCGACGACCGAGCAGGGCCAGGCCAGTACCAACGATTTCACGGAGTTGGTGGCGAGCCGCCTCAAGGATTAGGCCGCTATTTTCAAGCAGACCCGCCTCTGGAACGAGGAGCAGCGCGCCCTGCAGGTCTCGCGTGGACCGCGAGACCCCGATGCCAAAGGTCGGGGTCGCGGGCGGGGCCGAGGGCGCGGTCGGGGTCGAGGCGGCTGCGGTGGCGGCGGCAAGGGTGACGAGCAGGCGCCGGGGTGAACGGCGCCTCCCGGGCTGAGTCTGATCCTCGAGCTCAGCCCGGCGCTGTCTATCACGATCGGGGACATTCTACCCGGTGGGGGCCTTCGAGACGTAGGCGTGGGGGCCCGTTCCCTCTGCCGCAATTTTCGGGCCCTCAGCTTGAACAGCTTTGGGGTCGTCGCGAGCAGCAACGGCGGGTTCACCAGGCACGGGCTTCGCTCAGCCACCTCGCTGCTTCTCAACCAAACTCGGACTCGTTT